CCTTTGATAGGTCTATACTTTCTTATTTTCTTCTATGCTTTGTGTTTTATTTTTGTTGAAGAGTGGATATTAGTATCTATTAATAAGCTAACTAAGGAAGTCAGATTATCCCCTCTCACCATGGCTCACTATGTTTTTCAATATTGGGGATTATACTCAGGGCATTTGTACTGAGCTACATCCCTAGCTCTTTTTAATTTGTACAGGGTCTTGCTAAGTTTCCTAGGCTAGGCTTGAACTTGTGATGCTCCTTCCTCAGCCTCCCAGAGTGTTAGGATTATAGGCATGTGCCACTACACCTGGCTTTCATTTTTGATATTGTAGGCTGTCTCCATGTGAGGAATCATTCTGAAGACTAAGGTCTTCTCAGGGCTTTGCTAAACCTGTGCCTTTTCTGGTGACATTTTAATTTCACTCATGTATATGGTTGCTTTTGAATGTCCTAGACTCTCATGTATGGCCTCCACACTAAGAAAAATAAAAGACAATTTAATGGGTATAAAGGAAAAGTGTCCATCCTTTAAATTCTCTGGTAGTGTCTTCATCTGGAAGGTTGTATGGGGTGTTTGCATGAAACAGTGGTTTCCCACCTCTGTGTGAATCTCTAGATTAGAAGTAGCAATCAGAACATTTGGAGAACAAGGACTTTTCTACCCACCCTAGCTCTTGTAAGCTGCTCCATGGGGTGGGGAGTGGGGAAGGTAGCTGCTACTGGGCTAAGAAGTGAAATTCACTGCAATTATCTACAGTTTGCTGTCCAAGATCTCCATGTTGTTTAGGTGAGGAGATAGATTCTTGGTGCTTCCCATCTCACCACTTTTCCAGAATCCTCTAGTAAAATACCCTGTGATGCTTCATTTATGATCTCAGGTATGTATAGTTGGGGCCCTGACATAACAGCATGTGGCACCACATAAACCAGAAAAAACAACACTGATGCTGTTTTTTTCATAACCATAAGGGCCTAGAAATTAATAAATTGAAATGGAAGTAGCACCTCTTATAATGATATCTACTAATCCACTTACAAATTTTTGGCTTCTCATTTCTGCAACTTTGAGTTCTTCTGATTTAGAGGTCTTAGTTTCCAAAGGAAGAGTGCCCAGGGGCTACAAGAATAGTTTTACTGCACTAAAAATTGAGATTGCTATTGGCCATTTGGGTTTCTAATTTCACTGAACCAATGGGTAGGCAAAGAGGGGTTTACTTTATGTGCAGGGTAATCAATACTGATTACCACAAGTAAATATGATGACCGTTATACCCTGAGGACAACCAAGAATATCTTTGGAACCCAAGGAATTACTATCTGGTGTTCTTAGAAGTTCCATGTCCTTGAGTAAAAGTTTCTAGAAAACTTAATAACCCACATAAACACAGGGCTTTTGAAAACTCAGACCCTTCAAGAGTGAAGGTTTAGGATACCACACCAGTTAAAGAACCTCAACCAGCTGAGGTACTGTATGAAGGCAAAGGCACGCTAAATAAGTGATAGAGGAAGGATTTGTAAATGTCCACTATTGCTTCCTCATTAAGTAAGAGAAGATAGTTTTAGCAACTAAATATCTTCGTGTGCATTTTCTTCCTTATTTATGTGTGTGTGTGTGTGTGTGTATGAGAATGTCCATTGTGCATATAAATTGCTAGTGGCAAGTGACTTTACAACTTTGGGTTTTTTTTTTTTTTTTCAATGCTGGGGATTGAACCCAGGCCCTTGTACATTCTGGGTAAACATTATCCCTGTGTGACATCCCTAGCACTACAACTTAGTTTTTAGATTATATAACATGCATGAATTTATTTAAAAGAGAAGATGATATTATCCCAAGATGGATATAGTAACTAAGAGAACGGTCTCACCCATTTTTAGAGGAAAGCGAAAGAGGAGTTCTCTCATGCTAGGCAGGAAGCGTGTTGTGGTTGCTACTGTTGTATAGACATTAAATACTGAGAAGAGGAGAGATGTTGGGGATCCCAGGATTGGATGGTGGCTGTCATCTGTGTAGTGCTCTCAGCCTTTGCTCCTTCCTCTTCTGCTCTGCTACGCGTGATAGGGGGCTTAACTATACCTTCCACACTGACTTTCCAACTGGCTTCCAGTTACATACTGGCAGTAGAAAGGACAGGTGAGAGACTGGCAGACAGCTCAGGAGGAGAAGCAACTCTCTTGCCTGGCTTCTGACAATCCTGGCAACAGCAGGATTGGTAGCACCGACTGGTGATGATGGTGGTAGAGGTTAAAGCTGCACATCTTTAGCGGATCAGTTGTAATGATAATCTCTCCGAAAGCGCAACAGCAGGTTCAGACTTGGGCTCCAGTCCAGCAGCGCCAGCAGCTTCTGATCTCTGGGTAGCCCTTCTTTTTGTTCTTCTTCCATTCTCCATTTGCTCTTCTGGCCCTTCTAACACTTATATAACCAATCCCCTCTGTTTACTCTAGGTGATACTGTAAGTGGAATGGGATTTTTTTTTTTCAGCTTTAATTGAGTTTATTGGTACATTTTAGGGATACAGTACAGTTACATTCATTGTTGGGATCTTGTATATTTACATCACAGGTCTTGGTTCTCATTTTTTCCCCTTGTCCCTGCCATCCCTTCACCACCTTCGGGATTTTTATTTTTATTTATTTATTTGTTTTTGGTTTTTTGAGAAAGGGTCTCACTATGTAGTTGAGACTGACCTGGAACTCACTATGTAGCCCAGGCTGGTCTCGAACTCACAGTGATCCTCCTGCCTCAGCCTCCTGAGTGCTGGGATTATAGTTGTGTGTCACCATGCCCGGCCAGAATGGGATTTTTAAAAGAGCCTTTACCTTTCCAAGGCATGCAGTGAAATATTTACAGATGAAATTATGTGAATCTACTGATTCACTTATGGCTTGATCCATCTGAGATTTTTCTTAAGAATAATCTAGAGTGGGGTATGATGAGGGCATAGATGCAACAGGATTGGCCATGGCTTTGTGACTCTCAGGTGATAATCACTGGGTGATAGGTACATGGGAGTTCATTTTATTATTAACTCTACTTTTATATGTATTAGAAAATTTCTTTAATAAAATACCAATTATTATTTCCCTCCACTAAGAATAAATGAATCCCATTCACTTGCAATACTGTACCTTGAGTATCTTTTGTATTTCTGATTTAAATTCTGACTTATATGTGTCTTATCCTGGAGAAAGCCTACCTAAGAATGAGGCCAACACAAACACAAAAGAAAACAAAGATGTCTGCATGTGTATGAGAGAACAAGTGGATGGCATATGCCTATAATCACAACAATCTGGGAAGCTGAGGCAGGAGGACTGCAAATCCAAGTCCCACTAGCACAACTTATCGAGAGTCTATCTCGTTATGTAAAATGGCTGTCCATGTAGCTTAGTGAAAAGGCCCCTGGGTTCAGTCACCAGTACCTAAAAAAACAAAAGCAACTAATGAGCCACCATCTTTACTATCATCTCTATCATATCTTCCATCGTGGCAATGCACATCATCACCATGACTTTCACCATCAACATCTCTAAGTTAGCCAAAATTCACTGACTATGTACTGTGTGCAAAGCACTCAATCTTCACCTACCAGTAGGAGGTGCAGATCACAGCTCTCTGCTTTGAAGGAGCTCATAACCTACTCTGGGGAGCGATATACACCGCCCATCCATCTACCTACTATAAAGATACACGTTTATGAGGCATAATAACAGAATATGCTAAGTGGGGAAATACTAAATTTATCTGATGTTTAGATAAGAAAGGAAGGGGCTGGGCTAAAGAAGTTGAAGAAGCTTCTGGTGGGAAAAGCAGGAAAGAGAAGCTGAGATGGGTCCTGGAATGTGTACCTTCCAGAGAAGATGATGGTCAGGAGTGCGGTCTCTGGACTTCATTCAAGGCCTGGCTCTGCCACTGACTAGCTTTGTTACTTTGAGAAAATTATGCAATCGTCTGTGCTTTAATTTCCTCATGTTTAAAACTGGAGATAATAATAGGACACTAAGACATCTACTTCATGGAGCTTTTGTGAAGACCACATGAGTTATTAACATATGTGAAGCACTGAGGTAGCATCTGGCACAAGGTAAGCACTGCATCTGTGTTATTAAGAGAAGGACCAATACATTCTGGCCAGAAGGAATGGCCTCTACAAAGGTGAAGAGGAGGAATGCGGAAAACTTATTTAAAGACCAGTAAACAGAGCTGGAGCAGAGGGATCATGCAGAGGAATCATCTGGCAAGAGTAATAGCTACAGTTTACAAATGACCAATCTGAGGCAGGGAAAGCAACTTGCCAAATACCGGGTCCTCTCCTAACAACACATAGGAAAGTGGGGGAACCTATCTTGGGCCTTTCCAGCAAACTTCCCTGGGCAGCCTCCCCTGCTTTGAGCACTCATGGCCTGACTGGTGATGCACCCAAAGCTGCTCTGAATCGTGTCTTTGGATACTTACACCCAAACAAAGGGCCCCGAGGGGACACATAGGACAGACTTGAGGATTTAGAACTTACTGTTCTGTGACAGCCAAGTTGGGTGGTAGGGATGTGAGCCCATTGCCCGTGAGGAGCAGGACGCGGAGGTGTGGCAGAATCCCCAGGTCAGAGATGGCCTCTGCAGTCAGGCTGTTGAAGGAAAGGTCCAAGAACTACCATGGGAAGAAAAAAGATGGGGGGACAGAAGTACTCTGTGTGACCACGTGCTCGCTTTGGCACTGCAAACACCCTGTGTGACTGGGATGTTTCTCCATGAGGTAGGGGCTAGCTACACTTCCCCCTAACTTTCTAGAAAGCTCCATTACCCACAGGATAAAACCCTCTCTGGATTAACACTCAAGGCCTAGTAGAGTCAGTTCCCAACCTATTTTCCAGCCTTAGCCGGCACAGCAAATCTGATTATCCTGTGATGCTGGCCAAACTGACTCCTCCCCACTCCTCACCTCATCCCACTTGTCATTTCCTGCTGGGCTTTACACTCAAACAGGAATGTTCCTCCACACATCCGAATCCCACTTCCCAAAGGCCAACTCAAAGCTCCCTAGTCCCCATACTGGGGATTGAATCCAAGGTCTTGACAGTAAGCTACATCCCTTGTGCTTTTTATTTTTTTGAGATAGGTTTCACTAAATTGCCCAGGATGACCTTGAACTTGTGATCTCCTGGCTTCAGTTTCCCAAGCAGCTGCAATTATAGGAAAGATGTGGTCTTATAAAAACCTTTCTCAATTCTCCAGCCAGATGGACTCCCTTGCTCCCTTGCCTTTGAATGGTTTACCTAAACTGCTCTCAGGGTACTTATCAAATTCTGCCAGCTATGTGATATAGCTGAATACATGAATGAAATATAGGGATACTGGTATGTGGATGGGGTTTGTAAAATGTTTGGCATACACTAGATCATAAACCTTTTGAGGTCAAGGACCATACCACTGTAACACCATATCATTGTAAGCTAGCACAGGAGCTGGCACAAAGTAGGTACACAAAAAATGAGCAGAAATAAATTGGCTTATAAGGATAATGACCCAAAATAGCCACTCCCTCATTAACCACCATCAACTGGCCACCCAGACTCATAAAAATAGGCTAGGGTCAAGAGATCAGCCAGAGAACTGAGCTTCTTTCTGTAAAGACAAAGGCAATTGGATAAAATGAATCTGTACCATCTCTGCCCTTGTTCTCCTAAGCCTCTCTAGTCCCTCCTTTTAGCTCTTCTATACAACTGGCTTCCTTCCCTATTTCCACTCCTATTTCTTATGTGCTTCCCCTGCACCCACCTCCAACACAAGCCTATTGAGTGGGGTTAGTTTCAGTGTCTTATCCAGCTGGAGTGGGAGCGAGGAGGTCTTTGGGGGACTTCGTCTGTGTCACACAGTCACTCAGGCACATACACAATTCAAGTTCCTGTCAGAGAAGGACTGGGTTTGGTCTGACTCTGCATTAGTAATTAACTGATGGGCTCTAAAGGCCTCAGTTGGCTATCTGCGTCATGGCTATCTGTGTGATTTGGGCAAATTACTCAACCTGGGTTTTCTTATCTAAAAAATGGAAAAAAGTGATTCCTATGTGGAAAAGCCATTGGCCTGTAATCTGGTACATAGTAAATGCTTAACTAATATTGGTTCTTATCATCGTCACTAACCCTATACTGAAGCCTTACTTTGTTCTAGTCCCTGCCCTCTGGAAGCTCCTAGGCTTTTGGGGAAATCTAGATACATACATATCTGTTAAGTAGCAATGCTGCTGAGATAGATGTCTGGACACAGACCGATAAGACATGAAGGAAGGAATGGTCAGGGGGCCAGGACAGGCTTCACAGAACAGGTGACATCTGAGCTGTCCTCAGAGACTAGTAGGTATTCACCAAATTGTTAAGGGAGCTCTTGTTGCAAGAGCTGCGAATATTCTGGGTATGACTGAAGCCCATGGTATAAGAAACTTGATAAAACTGGCCAGGCCATGCAAAGTGCCAAGCACCAAAGGAGTACCAAGTTCATGTTGGCACTAGGAAAGTGAGGGTTTGAGGGTTCACACAAAGGGCAATCCGACTTGGCTGGAGCAAAGAAGTGGGGAAGACCTGGAAGGCTGGCTTGCATATGTACAAGCAAAAGTGCTTGTATGTAAACAGTCAACAAGATGTGTAGACTTTATCTACTTCCTTAATAACTCTCATATATCTTTTTCCCTCCAATTCCTTCTTCACAGAGTGGCCAGAATGACTTTTCTAAAATATAGTCCTAGTCACATCACTTCTTAGCTTAAAACCCTCAATGGATCCATGTTATGCACAAAATTCAAGCTCCTTAGCAGGTTTCCAAGGTTCTCCATGAGCTCTCTTCTGCCACCTTTGTAAGCTCATCTTCCGCTACTCTACCATGTTCACTCTCCATTCCAGCCATCAGCTGCTTCATCGGTGCTCAAGCTTAGAGGGTGGCAAACCAAGGTCTGTGAGCCAAATCTAGCCTGATGCCTGATTTTATGGCCCATAAGCTATGAACAGTTTTTGCATTCAAAAAATTAGGAAAAATGTGTGTTACATATGGAAATTATGTGAAACTCAAATTTGAGCATCATAAAATAAAGTTTCAGTGAAAGAGAGCTATGCTAATTTTGTCTTTATATTATGGACGGCTACTTCTACAACAGCAGAGCTATAGTTATAAGAGTTATGATTAGTTATGACTATATGGACAACAAAGTTTAAAATATTTACTATCTGGCCTCCTACAGAAGAAGCTTATAGACCCCTGTTCTAGCTGCTTTGGCTATTTCAAGTTGGATGCAAATTTGCTTTCCATGTAATTAAGGGCAGTTCAAAGACAGGAATAATTTTAGAGTCACAGACCACAGAATTTTGGAGCTGGTTCAGTATTTAGAAGAGAACAGTTAAATCCCAGAGTGGGCAAGTTATTTGTCCCAGGAGGCATGGCAAAGAACTGGCAGAACTAAGACTAGAAACAAGGTCTTCTTACTACCAGGGCAGCATTCCAGCTAATTTTATGTAGAGAAAGAAATCATGCAGAGTTAAGTTTTTCTACATTGATTCCTGAAGATTTCTACTCTGGACTTTTCCCTCTGGGACAGCCTTTCTGACAAATAAGGACAGAAGATTTCTAACCTGGCCACTGTATCTGCTGAGTCACATCAGGTTTTATTACACATCAAAGTATTCATTACTGTGAGCTACAAATTCAGGATATTTGACAGGTTTATCCATTTTCTTAGGGAGCCCTTGCAAATCATAGGAGAGATGAAGATAAATGACTGCTCTAGAGATGTCCTTTTCTCATTTATATTCTGCACCCTAATTTCGTTCTGTTCTCTTTTGTAAATAAATTCCCTTGGGTAAGGCTAAAGTTCCTGGATAAATAATCTTCATCAGATGCTATCAAATATAAAGTAGGATATCCAAAAAATTAACCATGATCAACTCTTAGATCTAAGCTAGTCAGCTGTGGGGTCACAGCCTGTGGCCATGTCCCCTCTCTACAGACAACGGCACTTCAAATAGGGGTTTGGAAAGGTAGCGGGGAGAGACAGATAGTTGGCATAATGCACAGCAATTTCAATGGCTAATCTGAAAAAAATAAAAGAACAAACAAAAAAATGGAAGTTCTTAAGAGGCTCTCAGGCCTGAAGTTCAGGGAAACAGATCCCTGTGAATAAAACATCTAGGACCATTTGCTACTGTCTAGGTTAAAATTTACACAAAATATTTTTTAAACACAGTGCCAAACCTCCTCAGTTGTTGTAAATTTACTTTATCTCAATTTTATCAGACTCTGAAGAGCTTTGCTTCTGGGACAAGTCTGAAGACCATGCCTGTCCCAAATCACAGTAAATTACTGTTTTCTTCAGTGTGACTCAAAATCATGGTGACAAGTTACCATTATATTCAATATAGCATGTTTTAGAATACAAAGATAAGCTGGGCATGATGATGCATGCCTGTAAACCCAGCACTCAGGAGGCTGAGGCAGGAGGGTCACCACAAGTTTGAGGCAAGCCTAGACTATATAGTGAGTTTAGAGCCAGCCTGAACTACAAAACAAGACCCTGTCTCAAATGAGCAAACGAACAAATAAACAGAATACAAAGGTAAATATCTATTTTAGGAAGATGGCCAATTCAAGAGGTTAAAACTTTTTGAAGCTGGCATATATAGGCCATCAACTCCCTTGAAAAATTCAAGGTTCCTCTTTTTGAAAAGACTAAGTTTCGTGAAGCCTGTGTGAAGAATGGCTGACCCTTGATATCTGCAGATTAAATCATTTAAGTTACCAACTCTTTGAGGTCAACCCATCATGACACAGACACTTCGCTAAAGTTGGAACTGGAAATGCTTTACTGCTTTACTGTAAGGCCAACATGTGGGGGAAAGTCCATTATTTAGTGGATGAGTGAGTCTGGCCAGGTGCCCAGCCCCACTCCTGGCTCTACCCGTTGTTTTCTACTCTCCACATGTTCAGTGACACCCAGGTAGCAACACAAGCTTTATTCCTTTGTCAAAAGTGGCTGTTAAATCTTCACAAAAGTTGAAGAGATAATTAGGAGGAAGTATGAGGATATGCATAGACAAATATAAGACTGTGTAAAAATTAAGAAGAAAAACAAGAATGCAAACAAATTTTTCTGTATTTTAAAGTCTAAGGTTTGGAGAACAGTTGCGGATGTAAACGTGTTAGAATCTGCTGTAGAATACATGGAAGGCCTATTTTGTTTCATCCCCATCTCTGGGGCTATGGACGAGGCCTATGGTCTGCTCTACCCCAGCCCTGGGACTGATCCAGCTCACTCAGACCAAGCCGGGTCTTTGGCATCAATTCGTAATGTCTCTAGTTCAGTTGGTTCAGTCTACCACACCTAGAGCTTACTCTCCATAGCTCCCCACCCCTACTGATCCAGATCTCCCCTCAAGCCCTTCCTCCTCTGATACTCCGCCTAAACTCACCTTTCTGCATAGGCTCCCTTGAACGTGAATGGCCCCTGGCATTTACTGCCCAGGACTACATACCATGGCCATAGGTATTATCAATCTGCTACTACAATCACTGTCAACATCATCACCCACCACCACTACAGTTACCATTGTCACCTCCACTCCCACCATCACATCACCACCACCAACAGCCACTACTCTCCCAAGGGCCAACTGTGAAGCAATAGCCTGGCTGTAAAGGCTTAGAGAGTCCTTTCTCAAAAGTTATACTCAGTAGAAAACTCCAAACTCATCTCTTCCAGGTGAACAGACAGGCACCCAAGACTCCCTACTTCCAACTTACTTCCAATGACTTAAAGTCTCCATACTTCATGTAGACTGTCTTGATGCCACTGAATGCAAGCTCCAGTTCCTTTAAGGCTGGAAATGTATGGAATATCTCTACACGGGAAAGAGAAAGAAATAATCAGCAGCTCATAAAGGATTTAAGATATTAATAATGACCATTCGCTGGGTCCCTACAGGGTCAGGCCAGGCAATGTGGGATGGTGCTTTACTTACATGACACCTACATTTCTAAGAGTGCTCAAAAACAGAAATTCCCACCTCTGTACCAGAGGAAATGGAGGCTCGGCCAGGCTTAGTGACTTTCTAGAAATGGAACTGCTGGTAGGTGGAAGAACCAAGGATTAAATCTAAATCGGCTCATCTACAAAGCCTATTTAAAATATTTTCTACGTTATTAGGTCTCCATTCACCCTCTCCCTCTACCTTTCCCTCTTCTCCCAACTTTATGCTAGAGATCCAGAGATTATACCAAGGCCTTAAGCATGCTACACAAGTGCTCTACCACTGAGCTATACACGCAGCCCATCTATATTATTTTTTTATTACAGAAGCTAAACATGCTCACCAAAAACAGTCAGATATTAATCCCAACACCCAAAGATAACTATGAGACATTTAACATATAACATTCCATACATTTTTTCCCATGTGTATATTGAAATACACACTCTCCTTTTTTACAAAATGGAATCAGACAGCCATGGTGGTGTATTCCTGTAATCATAGCACTCTGGAGGCTAAGGCAAGAGGATCATATGTTTGAGCCTACATAGGGCAATTTAGCTAGACACTTCCTAAAAAAAGAAAAAAAAAAAAAAGGAAAGGGCTGGGATACAGGTCAGTTTGAGGGCCCTCAGTTCAAACCCCAGTACCACCTATACACATTGTATTGTGACTTTTTTATGGCACAAAGATTATTCCATGTTAAAACACATGGGTCTAATATCTTAGCTATGCTCTAAGGTATAGATATACTCTATCCATTTTACTAGTGATAGCTCATAGGCTATGTGGATAAAAGGCAATCGAACTTTTTCCCCCTCTGCATGAGAACTGGACTTTGGGTTACCTTTCTAGACCCATTTCCCCGGCAACCAGAAACAAGTCCTATGGAAACCATATTACTAAACAATACTGATTGTAATAAAAAATGAACTAGATCAGTTAGTTGTATCTAGACAGGAAAAAACAATAAATAAATTATAAACACCTAAAGTGTTTCCTGGCATGCAGTCACTCCTTTAATCAAATACAACTTTCATGGGAACTCTAGGTGCTATGCCTATTGAGTTTAACGAAGGCTACTGGCTCCTGTGGGCAATGAGGTTTATAAGCCAGGGAGGCTCCTGAAGCCACCCAATTAGGAGAACTGTTTTCTTGTGTCTGAGTTGACACATGGGGAGGGGCTCAAGGGAATGGTTCATGGATGGCTGTGTGGACTGCTATATAGATAGCTGTGAGGACTCCCCTAAAGGGATGCAATATTACTGGAACCCTGTGTGGAATTACTTCAAGCCTTCTAAATGAAACAGGTAGTCAGCACGGTTATAGTAGGCTCGTGAGTCAGAATGCTCAACAGAGTCTAATAAAAGTCTGCATAGTAGGCATTCCAGGATGTTTCCAATGATCTTCCTTGCATAAGACTGTTTCTACAGAATAGATTCCTAGAAGCAGAACTACTAGATTAAAGCAACGACTACTTTATGTTTTAAAGGACACTGCCAAAATTACTTCCCACATGTCATATACCAATTTATCATATTTCCACCAGTTGAGCACAAGAGTGTCCATTTCCATACCAGTGCTGGATGTCATCACTCCTTTTCATTTTCACCAATGCTTGGTGGGCACAAAATAGTATCCTGGAGCTCCTCTAATGATCAATGAGGCCGAGTATCTTTTCCTACACCTACTGGTCTTTGTACATCAATACTGAAAGACCGCAGGACAGGCATATCATCAGATGCTTCTGCCAAAATACTCATCAAACTCAATTCAACAAAACTCATCCAATTTCCTGTTTGACTTGCCTCCTCTTGAGTGTGCTATTTTAGTGCATTTTCCCTTGATTCTTCCCTTTCCCAACAGTCTCACAAAGCCCATTTAAAATATTTTCTGTTATTAGCTCTCCCTTCCCCCTCTCCCTCTACCTTTCTCTCTGCTCCCCACTCTATGATATGAATCTCTTTTAATCCCCTTCACTCTTTGCCACAGCCCTGCTCAGGCCTCATTTCCTCTCCCCAGAAAATTGAAACAAAACCCCAGGTAGCCTGGTTTCCATCTTCTCTTATAATCAACCCTCCCGACAGCTACTACTCTATTTAAAAGCCTTCCATGGCTATCTTTTGACTGTCAGGTTACATACAAATCCCGTAAGGCCCTTGAGGATTGGGTCCCTGCCACCTTTGTTAGTCAGAATTCTCCCCCACATACATCCCTTGTAAACATACCAAGACTTTTCCTTCTCCCTAGCCAGGCACTGCTGTTCTACATCTGTTCAGTTGCCTGGAAATGCCTTGTTACCTTCTACTTCCTAAGTTATTTCTATTCTTTTCTTTGTATATGTGAGACAGGGCTTCACTATGTAGTCCAGGCTAGCGTGCCTCAGCTTCCTGAATGCTAGAATTACAGATACATGCCACCATGCCCAGCCCTGTTCGTTTTTTTGGTGTTGGCTTAGGTGTTCCTCTTCTCAGAAGTTCCTCCCGACTCTTTGGCTCATGTTGAAGTCCTGCTTATATGCTTGGGTAGCTTTTCTTGATTCCTTCTATTGTTGCCTACTCTGTCTGAGTCTGTCTCTCCCACCAAACCATAAGCTCACCAAAACAGGAACTGGACACACACTTTTGTAAAGACCATGTTGTCATACAGTCAAAACAACAGCAGGGGTCACTGCGCATTTGCTGAAAAATTAAGAAGGCCTCCTGATACTCTAGGAGTGTTTACACACTTCAGGATCTATCTCATCTGCATCTGCAAGGGAGCCTGCAAGTGGAGGAAGAAGGAAATTATACCTATTTACAGAGAGAAGCAAGAGCTCCCAGAGAAATGTACTAAGGAGACAGAACCACCCCGGAACTGCAGGTCTGAGTACTCTCCAGCACCTAGCCTGTTACGCTGCATAAGACGTATGAGTGGCCAATCATGGATGGGTGAACAGACAAATCTTAACACAAGTGACTGACTGTGCTGGCCAGGAGGCAGAAGAGTTTTCAAGTAGAAAAGCTCACCTAGAGGCAGCAGATTTTCTGAGGCATTGATATAAATCACAGAATGAAAGTGCTTGAAGTCCTTCTCCTTTGCCTATAGGAAAGCATTTCAGAAAATAAAAAACAAAAAAACCACAAGATTAGTCCCCTGCCTGCAAGCCTTGCTGAAACTCCAGAGCTGCTGCCACAAGGAACAAAGAGCTAAAGGGATAAGAGGCATCCTTAACATAAGAGCAGCCATGTGTTGAGGGCTTTTCTGCTTTTTTCCTACCATGGAATATGTTACATGTACAGAAAAGCACAGTAAATGAGACTGTAAAGGTCTATGTAACTATTATTAAGTTTGTAATAAATATGAACATTTTTCTGGCTTTGCTTGAAATTTCACCATCCACCTCCAAGTCTCCCTCCCCAACCCCATAACAAATGTTTAACTAGTGATCATCACTCTCACTCCTGTTCTGAACTTGTATTATTTATAAGCATATACACATATGTGTACCCATCAACTATAAATAGTGCTATTTATATATTTTGCAACTTTACATTATTTGCAATCATACGGGGGATATCATTTTGTAATATGTCCTTTCACTCAACATTATGCTTTTGAAATTTACTTGCATCAACATATGTAGCTCTAGTCTATCCATTGAATTTCCTGGATAGTATTCCATTGTTTGATAATATTACAAATTATCCCTTCCCAGTTGATGCACATTTAGCTATTTCGTTACTACAAACGATGACACAGTGTACCTTCCTGTACATGCCTCCTGATCACAAGAATTTCTCTAATGTTACACCCCAATCAGGTTGTAGACGCTTATGATAGGAACTCAGTGTTATACAAGGAATTATATCCCACCAAAATTCTATGGCATACTAAAACCAGAGTCATATGCTGAGTTCCTTTAATTCATACCCAATTGGACAATGACAATACCAAATTTATAATAAACCTTTGTGTCTGAATATTGTTTCCACCCAAGACTCCTTTTCTGACCTTCCCCTCTTTCCTTCTTGATATTTTCCGTCCCCAAGAACTCTGCAGGTACAGCAAACAAACATCACAACAGCCAGATGCCTCCTCAAGTCTAGTACCCCAATCACATCTTTGCTGCTGACCTCACCTTGGAGAACTTCAGGCCGCTCACATTGATGGTGCATAGGTCTGATGGTTTCCTCACACAGTGGTGCTTTAGCTGGACAGAGGGCACAGAGTCAGCTCTCAATGCTCCAACAAAATGTAATTAATTACATTATTTTTGTTCAGTGTTATTTTGTTGAGCAATTGCATAATTTGTCATAATTTGCTTGCTAGTTCATCTATTCATTCATGAAATGATTACTAATCACTACCATGGGCCATGTGCTATGATAAACATATTAACAAAATTTCTTCTAAATCCTATCTAAAGCTTTGTAAATAAGGACTGTCTCTCTTTTTTGTTTTAATGAGAAAAGGGGGAGAGGTAATTGTGCCTTGCCTAAGGTCCTGCAGCTAATAACTGGCAGATCTATGATGTGAATCCAAACCTGTAACCACTAAACTCTAGGCTCTTTTGCATGCCATGTGTCAGCCTACATAATTAAAAATTAGAAGCAAATCACAGTTTTGGAGCTTCTATTAATGTTTAATGGAATCACATTTCTTCTGGGAATGGAGAAAGAGCAAAACATTCCAGCTTTCATAGAGCTTATAATCTCATGGGATGCCAAGTAGCAAGTAAGTATTTATAAATGTAGTAAAAATTTTAACAGAGAAATTCAAGATGCTATGGGAGACAACAACAAGGGGTCCTAAACTCGGTCTGGAAATAAAGAAATGTTTACTTGAGGAAATAGTTTTTCAGAGATCTAACAACTAAATAGGAATTAGTCCCATGAAAGTAGGTGGCAGGGGCTAGGAAAGTTACCTAAGGCAGGAAGAAGCAAGGTGCTTTTGAGAGGATAAAAAACAAGATAAAGTCAGAAAGGCAGTCCTTACATATGTGGGTCCATGTTGGCTATGTAAGGAATGCGGATTTTTTTTTTTTGGTACCAGGGATTGAACTTGGGTTCTTGCCCTTGCAAGGCAGGTGGCAGAACCACTGAGCTAAATCCCCAGCCCAGAAATATGGATTTTATCCTACAATCAACAGAAAGCTGTCAGAAATTCTTTTGGCAGGGAATGATAGTAGTTTTATAAAAATTGCAAAGTCTGATACACATAGGATAAGACAGGAAAGACCAACATACCAGATATCAATTACCTTCTCAAAAACCATTTCTCTATTTTTTTTCCACATTAAATTACTGGCATTGTTCACATTTTTCCACATAGACACATTCTTAAGATCCAGCTCCAAGAGTTAAGTCTTGACCTGTCTAAGCCAAAAGTAGAGATCTCATAATTGGCCAATGATTTTTGGACATGTAATATAGGTCTAGCCAATGAGATATATATTGATTTTTAAAGGTAGGCCTGGGTGATCAGTTGAAGAAAGCTTTGTCTTTATTCTAAAAATAGACATGAGACTATGACAATCCTTTCTCTACCTTCTGATGTTATCCTCTATATGTGATGACCAACATTGCTACCACCATCTTGAGATCATGAAATCAATCAGGCTAAGAAGACTCACTGACATGTTGAGGATGGCAGGACAGAATAATGGAAGAAACCTGAATCTTGGAAGATGTTGTGAGACCAGTGTATCAATCTATCTTTAACAACACCTCTTCCCGCTTTTTTGTGTGTCAAACAAAAACATGCTAATTGGCTTAAACTAGTTAGGAAGTTACTGGATTAGTCCAGTAAGAAATGATATAGCCAAGTAAAGGATGGTAATAGAGATGAGAAGACAAATTTGACAACTATCTAATAAAAGCACCAGGGTGAGGAAGAGGTAGATATGAAGAATAATCCCAACTTACTGGCTTGGTGACTAGCTAGGTAAAAGTTAAAACAGTATAATAAAACCTGGGAAAATGATGTGTAGTTGGAAGATTGGTACAGGTACAATATGAAATACCAGCGAAATATTCAAGTGGAACTATGCAAAAGGCAGAGTGGATATTCCATTACTCTGAAAAACACGCTTGCTGTTTCTGTCACCTAAGGTGTCAGTATGGGTAATAAGCTTTAGGGATTAAACATGGGAATATCAGTATCTGCTGGATATTGATTCTAGGATCCATTTCAGATGCCAAAATATTCAGATATTCAAGTCCCTTAGATAAAATGGCACGGTATTGATGTAGATTAGGATAAAAGCAGGCTGGATAAAAGACAGGATATAACCTGTCAGGAAGATCCGGAAAGGAGGCCGGGAACAGGATGTACCTATAAAACCTGATCTGAAACGGATGCGACCTGTCAATTGTGGCCAGGATGTGTGGGCAGAGCAACTTCGAACGGACCAAATCTAGGAGGATATAAAAAGACAGAGGCTACTAACTTTGCTGCCATTGTAATCATGTTGTTCTGCTCTGCTCATTTCTGCAGTGACACGTTCTGCTTATAGGACATATCTCTTCTTGCTCTTCCCTTTTCCTTCAATTTTTCCCTTTTGTTTTCTTTTACATTAAATAAAAGTTATGTTTTTTAAAAAAGTTATGTTTAACTGTTCACCAGACATCCAGACAATTCTTTGGGTGCGACAGAAAGAGCCTGGAGTCTCTGGACACCATGCCGTCCAAAAACAGTACTTGTATAAAACCTATGCTCATCTTCCTGTACACTTTAAATTGTCTCTAGATTACTCATAATGCATAAGACAATGTAAATAATATGTAAACAGTTGTTATATTTTATTGTTTAGGGAATAATGATAAGAAAAAGAGTCTGAACATGTTTAGTACAACCTTTTAATTTTATATTTTCAACCTGTGGTTACTTGAATTTGTGGATTCAGGACACATGTTTATGCAGAGCCAATTGTATTTGGAAAGAAGGGGAAAAAGACCACTGTGGAAAGTGTTTCTGCCCTTTCTCAGTGTTGTTTCAGCTCTTGCTCTCAGTGATAAGTGGATATAATAATGAAACAAATATCATAGGTTTTGCAAACAGCTTATACTACCCTTCTGAGTCAGAGGGAACCAACAAAGTTCTATTTCAACCTCAGAGCTATGCTGATACCCATCCCTTGGGAACCATAAGCTGAAACTGACAACAAAGTAGGTTGCCAGAGAGTTCTTCTCAAGCAGCTGTAAGAACTGGACTGCCCATTAATATTGATTTACAAAATGTGTCTTTCTTTGCAAAGCCACTCAGCCATTACACAGAGCAGATGTGAAATTATCTGGCTGGTTTCCAGCAGTCACCCCAGCTCTCTTCATAAAGCCCGCTCCCTGACCTGAGTGATATTTGGACAGCTCCTCTGGCTTTCAGCCAGACTCTAAAGCCAACCAACAGATGCTGTAGGAGAACAGGACCTTCTCAATCCCACCTAGTCCTAGAAACATCACCTCAGAGCAGAGAAGGAATTTCTCCATCCTATTAGTCACTGGAATTAGATTCTCAATTGACTCTTTCCCCTCAAACTACTCTTTTGCTTCTCCAGTTCAAGCAAGAGTTTTTATTTCATGTAATATAAAGGTTCAGGCATTAGAGTCAGTAGACTGGAGATCTCATCCTGGCATAGCTATTTACTGAAGGTGGGATTTCAGCCAAGGAACACTATCTCCTGGGGCCTCAATTTTCCCACCCATCCAACAGCAGCAATGTAATAGGAATGAATAATACTGTATTGATCACAAAGTGGACATAAAGAAGGCTTTACACGTACAGAAAGTTTTGGGTCCTCTCATCATCCAGACTGTGCTCAATTTGCTAACCAACATCATTCTTACAATTTGGAGGGGGTTAGCAGGTCGCTCCTTGCCTCAGCTGGAGCAAAAACAGTAGAAAAAAAGGAAAATTCTTGTCATTCACTCCCTCCACCAGTTGATGCTGCCAGTCACTCCAGGATGCATTTTCTCTCACCAGAAAAGCACGGTCCAGGATGTGTCCAGGAATGTCTGCTTGGATTTTCTGATGTGACAGTTTCTTCTTTCCAACCTCAAAACAAACCTTCTTCTGGCTTTCTTGACCCGCGGAGGGTACTGCAACCACACCTTGGGACTTCTTCTTGAGGTTACCTTTCCGAGCCACTAGCCAATGCCCCCTCCCTGTTGGGAAGATCAGACCAATGAGAAGGGGTAATCTCCAAAGCTATAACATGAGCAATTACAGAATATTTATCTCTAAAAGTAAAAATAACTCCTGATTACCAAGTATGTGCTGTTGCTGTTGTGTGTGTGTACAAATTTATATCATTTAATTAGCCCTAAGCCCAATGAACGGCATGTTACCGACTCCAATTTACAGATGGAAAAGCTCAGACTAAAATAAGTTGAATGACTTTCCCAATTGCTTCCTTCCCATGTTTATCTCCAAACTATTGTTCTTCAAGATCTTGGGATCAAGTAATTCCCACTCTGCAAAGTCTTGCATGATTCTCCTCAGTAGAGCTGATCACATTTTCAGTGCCAGCTAGTTATCAGTTATCCCCTCATGGGTCATCTCTTGAGAAAAGCCAAAGCATAACCTAAATAGGCTCGGTCTCCCCAGACCACCAGGATTACTGTCTAGGGCAAAGGTTGTGTGAGGAACTCAGAATAAGAAAATGATAGGACAGTTGACATTTTAAAAAATAATAAACACAACTGGACCTGGTGGCGCACCCTGTAATCCCAGCACTCAGGAGGCAGAGGCAGGAGGATTGCTGTGAGTTTGAGGCCAGCCTGGTATACATAGTAAGCTCAAGGCCAGCCTGAACTACATAGCAAGCCCCTGTCTCAAAACAACAACAACAAAAACCCTAGTATACATATTTAGTGTAGAAAGAGAACATTTATATAAACAAAGAGAATCTGAAGTTTACGAGTAAAAGTTTACGAATTTCATTTTGCCTAACAAAAATGATACTGACATTCTGGAATCTGTTTTCTCTTATATTAGCAGTTTATTTACTGATATTCACTGTGGTCAGCAATTATTTTATTTGTTGTCTGTTTTCCCCTTTAGAGTGGAAGCTCTATAAAGTAAGGACTTTGATTCCTTCATCTCAGTATGCCCAAGATCTGCAGAATTTACCACATTGTGCCTGTTGCTGAGTGGTTTAATGACCTGAGCCACAGCCCTGCCCACACAATCACTTATTCATATCTTTTCTAAGCATTTACTTTGTGCTGGGAGCTAGAACTATGGGAATGAACAGGACAGAAGCTTTGACCCAAAAAAGTGCAATAATATAGTGGGTGCTGTGGAAGCCCAGAGAAGGGAGCTACCAGCCTACAGCACGAACTGGAAACAGTAAATTGAAAGGACTTCACTGGGTAGAGATTGAAAACTAAGCAGCCTGAGCAGAAGGGTGAGCATAAGAAATAACCAGAGATAGGAAAGGTTAGGATCACACACAAGGACAATACAGTTGCAGGAACCAGCCTGGTGCCTCTACCCACTGGCTCTCTTCTGGAGCAGCCCCTATCTCTGCCTTGGGGGCCTTCTCTGTTCAGCTGACCACTGCTGCCCATTCTGCTTCTTGGATGTAGTTCTTGTCTTGTGTCCTATGTGAACCATTTTCCACTCCTACCCTGGGCCTCACAGTCTAGGTACATCAAAAGGCACAGCATTTGGGTCTTCTTTATCTTATGTTCATATCTCTGATTCATGGAGACTCCAGACTGAGTTGGTGCAAAAACCCCCAACATGGCCAGGAGGGAAGGGCCAGAGTGTCAGGAGAAAACACAAGAGAGAGGTAAGGCTAGAGAGGTCAGCAGAGTCAAACCTTGATAGGTCCTGAAACCCAGACAAGGGTAGTGATGGCATAGGTGTAGGAAGAAGAGAAACCTGGAAGAAGGTTTTCTTGTTTTTTTTTCTTCATAATTTTCATTTTAAGATAATTTTAGACTTTCAGAGATGTTGCAAAAAAAAAAAATAAGAGTTCCCACACCGCCTTCGCCCATCTTCCTTAAAGTTCACATCTTATATAACACAATTATTGAAACCAAGCAATTAATCTTTGTACAATATGAGCTACTAATCTCAGCCCTTCTTTGAATTTTGTCATTTTCCTCACTAATGACCTTCTGTTCCAGGCAACAACAACCTAAGACCTTACATTGTAATTAGTTGTCACAGCTCCTCAGACCTTCCTTTTTTTGTGTAGTTTCAATGCTTATAAAGAGCACTTGTAAAATGTGCTTTGACTTGAACTTGTTTGATGCTTCGTCATGATCAGATTAAGGCTTTGCAATTGGCAAAGCTACCACAGAAGGGAAGCTGTGCCTTTCCCAATGCAACATTCCAGGCAGTTCATGAGGTCATTATGCCTTATTTCTGGCAATGTTACTTTTGATCACTCAGTTGAAATGGTGTGTTTCTGGCTTCTCTACTGAGAAGTTATTATTTTTCTCTTTGTAATTAATACAGTTTAAGACTACTCAAATATCTTTTTTCTCATCAAACTTTCACCCACTTATTCTAGCATCTGTGATGGTTATGTATCAACCTTGCTAGGCTATTATTCAGTCAAACACTAGTCTATATGTTGCAGTAATAGTATTTTGTAGATTTCTAATATCTAGAATCAGTTGATGTGAAATAAGACACTATCTATGATAACATGAGCGACCCTTACTCAATTCATTTGTTGAAAGACTTTAAGGAGCAAAAACTAAGGTTTTGTGGGGGGAAAAGAAAACTTGTCTCAAAACTACAGCATCGGCTCTTTCACAGAATTTCTTCAATCACAGACAGCAACTGCTGGGGGGAAAGTTTTTCTGTCTGTCTGTCTGTCTGTCTGTCTATATCTATCTATCTATCTCTCTCTCTCTTACTAGTCCTATTTCTTTGAAAAGTCAAGACTAATATAACATCTACACATGGTTCTACCCTCCAGAACTTTCTGTGCTATTTGAATAGTGGTTTTTACATCCTTTTTCCCTTCTATACTTATTAATTGGATTCTGTGGTAAGGCAGAGCTGTTCTAGCTCCCAGTTTATTAATCAGTAAGGATTCATAAATATTTATTTATTCTATGATTTATAATCTTATTCTACAATTATTTATTTCATTGCTCAGACTGCCCCAGCTTTGGCCATAAGGAACCCCAATATTTTACTCCTGTTTTCTTTCAACCTGCTCCCATTATATTTTTAGTACTTCTTTACTTGTTGGCATTACAAGATATTACAGGCTCAACTTGTATTTTTTCCTGCCCCAGTGTCTAAACATCTATTTATCTGAGAAGCCCTTGCTTCTTTCACTGAAGAATGATATTTAGAAACTAAGATGAAAGCAACAAGTATGTTCTTCACTACTGAGCTGTCTTTCTCAGTGTACATATTTACATGTATACTAACATATATGGATACATATAGCTATACTGCCTTCTGTATTTTTCTGGGGAGGGGGAGGGAGACTTACTGATAGCTCCACTGGAGAATTTTAACCAAATAGGTGGCTAGGGAAAATCCTTATGTGAAAAATAAAATTATTCTATAGAGGTGGGGAGAAGAGACTGGAGAAAAAGGTTCTTCCAACGTTTTATGTACAGTTGTCTCACCTTATCTGAGGTTTTGCTTTCTATAGTTTTAGTTACTGGCGATTAACTATGGTATGAAAATACTCAACAGAAAATTTCAGAAGTAAAGAATTCATAAGCTTTAAATAACTTTTATTGCATTGCATTGTCATAATTATTCTAATATCTAAATTATTAATCTGTATTTGTATGTTAAAATGTATCATAGGTATGTATGTATAGGGAAATTCAATTTAGATAGGGTTGGACTATATACAGTTTCAGGAATGCACTAGGGGTCTTGGAACATATCCTGTGCAGGTTAAGGGGGACTAAGATATAGAGCGACCAACATGCCACAACACCTGGAGTAAACAAGGTATATTTCTCTTTCGCTGTACCCATTCAGATCAACAATCCAATCCACATTTCCAGACAGTGTTCCATTTATAAGGCTCTGCTCTGGAGGAGTCCCTGCTCCGGAGACTAGAAAAGCATTTTAGAAACTACTCAACAGAGTTAGGTGTAAGGCATTTCATTTAGTAGCTGGGCAGAATATGACTACTCATCAAATAAGAGACACAGGCAGAAAGAAAGAATGAGGACAGGGGTAGTCAGATGGCTTGCTGGAAGAAGTAGGAAAAGAATGGGGCTTCGTGGATGGGAGAGTCTGGCTAACTGAGATGAATACTGGAACATCTGGGGCAAATCAAAAGCTATGTGAAAAAAACACAGTATTGTGGAACAGCACATGACAATGAGGCTGAAGCACAAAATAAGGGCAGGTTAAACTGAATGACAGAATGCAGCAAAAGGAGGCAGCAATGAGAAGCCAGTAAGTAGAAGGGCACAGTTGAACATGCACTGCAGAAGGCTCACTGAGGCTGCTGCAAGATAGATGGGAGGGACAGGACTGTGTGGTGTAGGAGGCAACAACAGTGATAGGGCTGGAGAGGAAGACAGGGATATGAGTACCATGTAAACCAGGAGCGGGTGTGAACAAAAGGAAAGTCTGGTAAGTCACCTGACCTCCTTCCGGCATTTGAAGCAGATTTTTGGCTGGAAAGCAGTTGTTCAGGTAAGGCTTCCCATTATCCAGCTTGTAGACTCCTGAGGAGGCCATCTCCCTGGGGGCAAGCAAGAACAGTGAGGAGTCAGAAGAACAAGAAAGTGTAGCAGAGCACTCACCTCAACACAGCTCACAGCTCGTCAGGGCCACTACTCCCTGTACACATCCTGTCTGAGAGGCCCCAAGGCCCACTGCCCTGCTTCAGAAATGAGCCGGCCATTTAGATGAAGAGGGTGATAAGGCCCTGGTGTTTACAACTCAAATAAATCCTACCACAGTGGATTAGTAGGAAAAGCATTCTCTTTAGGCTCAGACCTGGTTTGAATCCAAGCTCTATCTTTCCTTGTTGTGCGACTAAGCAAGTTATTCTACCTTCACTGAGCCTCAGTTTTCTCACTTGTAAAATGGGGGTAACAATCCTATCTTAAGTGAAGATCAAGTGAGGAAGGCAGTGCCTAGCACCTATCAAGTGCTCAAAAGAAGTATTCTTGGTTTTAACAGAGTTCAGAGAAAAGGAAGGCCCACATTTAGGGAAGATGATGTGTAAATACTAAGGTTTGAAGTGGATAAATAAGATTTAAGGAAGTAATTGAGTTTGCTAATAGAGAAGGATAAACGTTCCAAACAGAAAGAACGTCAGCAGTGAGAGCTTGTGGTGAGACGTGAAAAACAGCCAACCACCGGGGATGAGGAATGATGTGTGTCTGCAGTCTTAGACAGCAAGGCTGGACAGGAAGGATGGAAGCTGCTCCAGGGCATTTGGTATCAGGCTTCATCCTGTAGGTGACGGAAAACCATGGACAACTTCTGGGCCAGGTAGAGCCATGACCCAAGCTGTGTTACTGAAAAAAGAGGATTGACCCGAAAAAGAGCATAGAAGGAAGTGACTGTCAATTGTAACTGCAGGCAGGGGATCAGCCGAGGAGAGTCCATGTGAAAAACTGAAGAATGAAAGAAAAAAGAAAACAAAAGGGAAAGGGAGAAACAGAAGGCAAAGTAAAAGAGGAACAACTAACCTATTGGAAGTACGAAGTATGAGCATTTGAGATAGGGATAAAGGAGGAGGGAGAAGCAGCCTCTGCAGGACTCTGAAAGGAATTCTAAAGAAGACAACTTGGGGTTGGAGGATGGGCAGGGGCTGTTAGATAAACCAAGGGAAGAGAAAGCTAGAGGAAAGAGGACCTGGGCAGCAGAAAAGGCAGCTGAGGTGAGGCCCTTAAACCGGCCATGAGGAAACAGGAGGCCAGTTTCTGGGGAAGCATAGAGGTAGAGTCTGATTTCAACTGTATGGAAGGTGAAGTGCAAAAAGTGAATGTAAGCGAGTTTTTCTACAAGTTTGACTGTGAAAGGGAGGGGAGAAACAAGTGGGAGGGGAGGCAAGGTCAAGAGAGGGGCAGACAGCAGGACCAGGACTGGGGGAGGTGAGTGGGGTGCCTAGGCAATATTTAAGCGGGGTCTTGCTGTCTCAGAGTGGGGCAAACGTAGTGTTGGCACTCACCTCCACCTTAGTCCCCGCCCTGGCAGACTCTCACTGCAGAGACAGGCAGTGCAATCACACTGCATGGGTTTGTGTAGCCTTGCGCCTGTTAACTTAATTTTTCTAGGTATCAGTGTCTTCCTCTGTGAAATGTGGACCGTAAGTGCACCCATTTCATGGGGCTGTTTTGATGATCAAAAATGAGAAAATGCTTGTGAAAGGACTTAGAATAGTGGCTGCTTCATGGCTACCTTATATTGATTGTTTTCAGTTATGACAATTATTAACAGGACGAGACAGGCTCGGCTATATCTATAAACTGAAAAGAAGGAGCTGGCACGGGAGGAAAGGCTGAGAGAAGAGATTCAAATATCCTAAGTGTCCCACTTCCCTACCACCTAGAGAATAAAAGCACAAAAGAAATAACTTTCTATTTCCTATCTGCTGTGCGTATGTGTACATGCTTATACGTGTACAGAAGCTGGGGTGAGAACATGGTTCTAACTCTAGGGTCTGAGTCAGGCTTTCCTTCAAATTACTATTCTCTTCAGAGAGCCAGACACAAAAATAATTCCTCAATGGAGTGATTACCCCTAATCATAATTATGCTCAGCATCATCATTCAATGATTCTGACGTGAAAGAATTTGCTTGAGTTAAGGGCCAAGGATTTAGCTCAGTGGTGCCTCCGCCTGCCTCTCAAGGTCCTCAGTTCAATCCCTGGTACCAAAAAAGAGAAAGAGTATGTTGAGTTAAAAAAAATTATATATATATTCTTATATATATTCTGATATATATTTGACATTCTGATGTCAAACCTTGCAAGAACCTACATTTTAGCCATAAGTTGCAAATGCAAATGGTAACAGGAAGGGCCAGGGGTTTAGCTCAGTGTTGTCACCTGCCTTGTAAGCATGAGGTCCCAAATTTGATAGGGGTGGGGGTGTGGGGGAGAGAGAGAGAGAGAGAGAGAGAGAGAGAGAGAGAGAGAAGACAAATAGATACAGGAGGGAGCAAGTCACAAAGGGAGCAAGTCACATGAGTGAGGAAAGCCAGATGTGAGATGTAAAGGGGGAGCGAGTGTACATGTGTCCATAGAGGAAGCTACTTTTCAGCCTTAACAATAGTGGCCATGCTTTAATGGACGCTATAAGTCAATGTTGCCAGATTTACCCATATTTTCAAGAGAAAAGAGGATACCACACCTTCCACAAAGCCTTCACTTAGCTCCCCCCACCCCTCTTTGGGTACTGGGGATTGAACCCAAGATCTTGCACATACTAGGAAAGTATTCTACCAGTTCCGAGCTACATCTCCAGCCCTCTTACCTTGAGACAGTGTCTTCCTAATTACCCACACCAGCCTCAGACTAACAATCCTGCTTCTACTTTCAGAGTAGCTGGGATTACAGCGTGCACCATCACACCTGGCCTTCACTAAATATTCTAGTGGGAAATAACTGTGCTTCTACTAAGCCCAGGAATTCTCTCTTGAGTTTCTGTTTGACAGCCAGACTGCTTTCTATCTTACAAGATTACTAAAAATCATGAAAGTCTCCTTCAGGGAACTATGGACCTCCCAGTTTGATGTCCATTTCATTGTTTCTCTTCCACTCTTGGGCTCCAGCTCATAAGAAACAGTAAAAATACGTGTGTGAGCCAAATGAGGGATATAATAGCACTGCTGGGACTCAAGAGTATAGGTATATCTGATCTATTTAGACTTCAAGTTCCAAGAGAAACCACAGTATTTATAGTATTCAACAATTTCTCTCTAATACAACACCTGACATATAACAGATTACATAAATATCTATAAAATGAATGCTGGTATCTCCTTTGGTCCAATTCAGGGCACTACGGACTTTCTGATCCCTAACCTCTCCTGCAAAGGATTGAGGCTCATGTATTCCTGTGACACCCCACGCTTCTCCTCATTCCTTTATAATTGTTTCTCCCCTCACCAACTTCTTACTTGCCATGGGGCCTATGTTTATCAGTATAGTAAGGATTGTCACTATAATCCTTCTTAGTCTGACACTTTTACAGTGCCTAGTGCAGGGCCTAGGAATCACTTAAAATATGCTGGGAAGGTTAATGGATAGGTAGATGGTTGGGGATAGATTCACAGTCAATATGTTTTTTAGGAAATCTCTCTAGTGACAACCATACCTATTTTCTGAATAAAGGAATAAGTATATAATTGGCTGGGAAATGTTAAGAGATGACTGTTGGAGAAGGCTCCAGTTAACTTATAAAATATCAGAACCTGGCTTCTGGTCTACATAGTACATACTTGATCTTTGACTTTGAGAATAGCCTCTTGGTGTCCTTTTTCTTCTGTTTCTTGACCTGTTTCTTGACCTGCAAAACAGATGTTATAATCCTTCTTAGTCTGCCACTCAGAATTCTTGAATTTTCTGAAAAATTATATTCTACTGTGAGTTTTCTGTTCCAAAATTTGGAGGCCTAAGGAAAAAATAGTACAAAAGAGCAAAGAAATAGCTGGATATAGAGAAATAGGCATAGATGAGAAGGGGTATAGGAAAACAGTCTTATGAAAATGGATTGTGCCTGGATTGTTTAAATAAGTTATGAAAAGCACAAAGCAGGGCAGAAGGGTTCACTGACATGATTACTCAAATGAAATAAATTTCTGCAGGATAAAAGTCACAAGAACAAAACTGAAAGATAAGACTCAGCCTGGGAAGATATTTACTATACCTATAACACAAAGGACACATCAAACTCAAACATACAGAACTAGACATAAGTAACCATAGAAATTTCAATTTCTTATGAAGAATATTAAGTGAGACGGTATGGATCTACAACCAAAGGGCCAAGAAAGGACATAATTCCCAGTTAACATTTTCTAGAAAGTAACCCCAAGAGAAATAAGAGTAGCTTTATAGTAGAGGGGGAAAGTCCAAGTTCCAGACTTGAGGTTGCCTTCCTAGTTAACTTCAGCAACTCTTGAAGGCTAATGTCAATGTAACTAGAACCTCCTATCTCCAAAACACATACTCACATTCTTTCTCTCATGTATACATGAACACACAGAGGCAGTAATGTTCCTCATTTACACCTGCATATATGCGCTTGTTCTATTCCTCTGACTTACTAAACTTCTTTCTTTTTTGCTTGGCTCACAGATAACTTTCCTATATTTCCCTGTTCTCAGTTTGGCCCTCCTCCTCTGTGTTACCAGCTCAGACCCACTTTTTAATGGAGGCACTCCACCACACTGTGTTAGCTATAATGGCCTATGTGTCCCTGACTGTTCTGTACCCCACCATCTCAGACTATGAGTCCCTCCAAGATCAGGCCTAGATCCTGCTTACCTATTCTCAAGCACCTCACAAAGGGCCTGGCCTACCAAATAAATTTTAATGAGTGCTAATCCAAGCCATGAACAAAGTGCTCAAGGAGAGAACTTCATATTGTCTGTGAAGAAGGAGGAAGCAAAAGTCAGGGGAGGTTTCATAGAGCAGGTGACATTAGAGCCGGGTCTTAAAATATGAGGCTGGGGATTTAGCTCAGTGAGTCTAGTGCCTGCCGCGCAAGCGCAAGGACGCGGGTTTAATCCGCCGTACAAAAAAAAAAAAAAAAAAAAATTTACAAAGGCTGAACAACAACAGCAAGAAGCTACAGGGACATCTGACCAAAGTGGCCAGCAGTTACCTCACAGAAGTCAAGAAATCTAATCTAGTCCAGAATCTAATATTCTTTAGCGATCATATTTTCACAATGAAGTCATGCCACGATAGATATTTGTCTGTTCTATTCAGGGAATGTCCTGAGTCACTAGAACAGGCCCACTACATAGTAAGCAACTAATTAACTCTTATTTTCATAATTTATGCACTTACAGGGGGTATACAGAGATTTTTAAAAAAATGCCATGCAACGGAGCTTATTACTATTGCAACGCTCTAGGTCTCTAGAATAGTGACAGGTCTACTGTGATCCATTTGTATCCCTTAGTACAGGGTCAGGCAATACTAGTGCTTAATAAATATTTGTGGGGGGGAATGAATACAATCAATTAACATATACAACACGATTACATCTTAAAATTGTAAAAGCTGAGTGCCAAAGGGAAATACCATAGCTTTTGAAGCAAAACAAAACAAAATAACCCTGACTTCAAACCAGATTCTGATACACGCTCTTTGGCTGTAAATAACTAAGTTGCTCAGTTTCTTTATCTTGTTCTAGAACTAAGTGAATGATGTATACACAGTAAATGCACGAAGGGCACTGATTGGCAAGACAGTGGGAGTTCAGTCCATTAAAGTTCTACACAAAACATGACTAATAAGACGACGACAGTCACTTGAAAAAATAATCGGGTAAGTGCCCTAAAAAGCTAGAAAGGATGAGTGAAGAGCTCTTCCCCGCCTCTTCGCAGACTGAACGTCTGGGGCGGAGGAAACTAACTCCCGCAAACTAAATTTCCAGTCACACCTGCCTCTGGCGTCGCTTCCGCCTCCGAGCAGTCCGCCGAGGCGACTTGCGGGTCAGGCAGGATGAGCACCTGCGAACCTCCCGGGGATCTCGGAGCCGCTCCACTGTGGTGTTTGCCACTATCTTCCCCACCTACTCCTTAGTAACGGGGACGCCTAAATTGGCCGTGTACTCCGCAACCGGCCATCGGAGCGTCTAACTACAAATCCCGGCAAGCCCCGCGACCACTTCCGCTAACAACCAGGCGTCAACGCGCCCGCACTACGGATTCCGATAGGCATCGCGCCTCGCGTCACATCGGCAGCTTCAGCCAATCGACTTCGGACAGGTCGGAAGGGAGGGAGACAAAGTAGCTGGCAAGATGGCGGCGGCCCTGGGCGGGAGAAGTGGCGGCGGTGGCGGTGGTGGAGCTGGCGGTGGCTCTGGTGTCGGGACAGGCAGCAGCCGCAGCGGCTTGTTGGATAAGGTAAGGAGTCGGTTCCTGGAGACAGTCGAGTCCTGGAGATGCTAGGGATGCGGCGAACCTACCTTTCCATACTCGCTCCCCTTATCTTCTATGGCCTCTTGAGGGGAAGCCCTGTCTAGCTCACCAACGTGCACTTATAGCTAACTCTCTCTACACTTCATACCCGACCTTACTGTTTAGTTTTTTTCTTCTCAGAAGTGTCCTGGTCCTTGACTCTGGATACCATAGCTTCGCGTAATTTGATTACTCTCACGTCTCAATGTGGCCAGTGCTTTTCCCTTGTGCTCGGGGTCACTGTTGAAAGTGCCCATTTCACTGACGAAGAAGCCTGAAGCCCAAATAGTTAAAAGAATTCACGCGAAGTCGGTATCCCCCAAACTCCCCACTGTTATTCTCGCGTGCTGCTACACTTTCCGAAGTGCTTCTCGTTCTTTCGTCTACTGAAGTTTCTCGGCCTTTTTATAAAGAATACATAATGAAAATATTAGAATATTGTCTTCCCTGCAGGGCTGACAAAAAGCCTTAAGATGCTTAAGAAGGCCTACTTGCCTTCTTTGCCCCTTGTTTGCCACTAAGTGCACTGCTGTCTGCTCCCTCTTGACCCTTTCCCACCCTGCCTATGAAAAAAAAATTTTAACTGTAGTCCTAGCAACAAGGACTGGGTGAGGGTGGACAACGATTCTGCTTCTAAGTTGGCATTTCTTGTTTGTTGCACAGCATCTTGGAAGAAACAGTTGCATGGAAATTGGGGTGCTACTAGTTCTCCTCTAGCTCTGTGACCTTGAAGTATGAGTGCTCTTCCTGTGTTTACTCATCTACACGTGAGGGATTGAGTTTTAAGGTACCTAAGGTCCCTTCCAGTTTTCTCCTTGTAGGGCCTTAGCTCATTTTATAAGTATTAAGCATGGTGCTTTTGACAGAATAATGTTTAGCTTAACTGAAAAGCTTTCAAACTTTCTTGTGCTTAATATATGGTAGGTGCTTAAGGAAGGAATGCATGATCTTATTGAGGGATTCATATCCAGGTCTTTTTGCTTATCTTTTTGAAAGTCACTGGTTTTTAATTATAAGGTGCTTCTCACACTTGTGATAGAAACATGTTCAGGAGGTTGGGATGATACGTTCCTTCAAGATGTGTGAGAGCCCTGGGAATTGAGAGATATTTTTGTAGACAAATCCTGCTATTTTTGCTGGGTGAGCAGTTCACAGCCTGTACTCATTCCTTCTTACTGACTGTTCTTCCTCTACTCTCCACATATATCATCAAACATTAAATTAAACATGGACCTTCTGCTGAAGCAGAGATTACAAAATACAATTTCTCTTGGTATCAATGAGGTTCACTTCCAGGACCCCCACCCCCTATACATATTTTAGTATCCAAAGAAGTTCAAGTCCCTTATATGAATGTAAGGAGACTTTCTTATCCAATATACTTTTCCTCATTACTGCTCAAATGTAATATTTGTGTATAATATATGCACATCCTGTAGTATACTGCAAGTTATCTGTACATTACATATAATAACTAGTATAATGTAAATGCTCTATGAATACATGTTATGCTGTATTCTTGGGACAGCTAAGGTTAATTAGCTTGAGATCCTCTGAGGGAATTAGTAAAGCATACTTCTGGGTATGTCTAAGTTGGTTATAGAGGTGCGACCTTGGGCTCTATATCTGGTCCCTGGCCCTGTTCCCCTTCTTTCTTCCTGGCTTCTGTGAAATGAACATCTTTGCTTTACCATGGTCTTCTGCCGTGATGTTTCTGCCTAGGAACTAGTGTGCCATGAACTGAATCCCCTGAAACAGTGAGCCAAATAAACTTCATATCCTTTAAGTTGTAGGTGTCAGGTAGTTTGTCCCAGCAATGAGAAAGGTGACTAATACAATTCTTTAGGGAATAATGGTGAGAAAAAAGAAGTTTAGGACAGATGCAGTTTTTTCCTGAATATGTATTACAGTCCATGATTGGTTGATCTGCAAATGTGCAGTCTGTGAATACAAAAGGTCAACTATTATGTATGACATCATCATGTTACTAGAACCTAGATTTGGGGATTATAAGATTTTTTACTTTGAATTATCTCCACCATTTACAAACAGGGTGAAAACTAGTAAACTCACTGAGTTTACCTTCATTATAGTTTTTTTGGGAGAATTAAATAAGACAATATACATCAACAACCTCTATACCTGGTAGTGTCCAATACAAATACATAATGGCAGGGGACTGCATCAAAATTACAATTATTGTAGAGTACTGGGAATAGCTGAATATAGGAGATAGGATATTCAGAATATTAAGTATATATAAGGAAGTGTATGGTATATTCAAATGGGTGCTTTTTACAGAGAGAGAGAGATTCTTGAGATCTAATTGGTACGATTGAGACCACCCCCTGCCCAAGGCTCATACCTGAGAGTAGAAGTTGGTCCTTATTTTGAGGAGAAGAGAGGAAAAGCATATCAGATAAAAAGTCTCCTTGAGCAAAGGTGCACAGGATGTGGTAGTGCCTGAGGTCTCTCAAGTAGTGAGTTAACTGAAAGGTTCTATAAAGAACTGTAGTGACAGATGGAGGAGGCCTTGGATTGCTCAGAGTAGGAGTAGGAAATTGTTGAAGGACTTTGAGATGATAAAAAGTAGTTATAGGAAAACTGTCCAGGTAATTTGAAAAGATAGAAATTAGAAGCTTTCTAATAAGGCTATATGCCATGCTAGTATATAGGATTTCTTGAAAAGTAAGTTTGAATTCTATGTTAAAAGCCACATGGCCTTGGGTAACTTAAAATGTTACTGAACTTGCGTTTTCCTTACAACAGTTGAACCCTAGACCCTCATATGTATTATAGAATTATAGCAAAGGTTAAGTTGTGTAGTATTGGAAACATTCGTTGTAAAGGACTATATAAAAATGGAATGACAAGATGATGAAACATAAATAACAGAAAAATTGATTAAAAGGCTTAGAGGAGCACTTGGAATATTTAAGAAGTGAGGGACAGAAGAGAAAACAAAGAGATGTTCAAGTGTTTTTCTCTTGGACAACTGTTTCAGCTTTACATTGAACTATTCATACTCCTAAATTCCTGTAGAACTTACTTCACTTAGACTGTCACTTAATAATGACATATTCTTTTGTATTGCTCCACCCACTTGTATCTAATTTCTCAGGGTTTCTCTGTAGTGATCAACAGAGAGGAAGTGCTTACAGCATTGAGTTTAGCAGAGAAAATACCACATCAGCCTTCAGAAACAGCTTTAGAGAATGGTTCCTCTAAGTGTGAAAACTGAGGTCCTGTGAAAGAGAACATGGGAAACTGTTCTAAGTGGAGTAGGATATGAATGAATAGAGAGAGTCTTGTTCTGTGGGAATGTGGGGCTGTCACCTCTAATACACTCTCTTTGATTCGTCTTGATTTTTTGTGGAAGGGATTTAATTTTATTTCTCCAGTTGTAGTTTCATTTGCTATAAAGAAATGTAATAAAGAGATGCAAATGTGTTAAACTTTCTTAAAACAGATGTAGATTTCTGCTCCTCTGAAACTGACTTTTAAGAACACAGTAGTTCTTATTTCCTGATTTTAAAAATAAGTATGCAAATTGAATCTTCTAGTCTTCATTACAGAATGACTTAATTCATTGCAGCAAATTACTTTGCCCAAAATTTATGAAGGTATTTTGTTCTACATGGCAACTGTAAAGAAAAGCTCCTTGTTTCATTTGTTTTAGCTATTAAATTGATAGGTAATGTTCAACTCTGCTTTCCTGAAGCTGTATCTAGATTATTTTTAACCTTATTCCTACATTCTGTCTTTTGGTTGGGCTGTCAGCCTGTTTTTAAACCACAGCTTTGGTATTTATAAAACACAGCTTTTAGTATATGATTGAGGATATAAGCTGTGGAGCCAAACTGGTTATCTAGCTTTGAATTCTGATTCTGCCACCTAACAGTTGTGTGTTCTTGGACAAAGTACCCACCTCTCTAGCAAAAGGACTTACCTGACATCTTTTTCACTGTAGTTTTTATTTTGAGCATTTTCACCCTTTAGTCTCACAGGATAAAGGGACCAGTGGTGGAATGTTTAAGTAACTGGTGCTGGCTCCCAAAGACCTGCAATAGTGTAAACTTCTCGGGGCCAAGCTAAGTGTAGAAGCAGCCTAGTCACTACTAACGCATAGTTTGTAACAGAGCAGAGAATCATTTTTTTGGTAGGTGCCACTAATGTATGTGTTCATAATTTAATTGATACCGTTATTCTAATGTATGCATAACTCCAGTGATAAATCCAACCACTAAACAGCAGTTGTATGCCAGTAAATTTTTTTTGCAGTATTTCTTAGCCATTTTTAACAAAAATGGTTTGAAAGTGAAAATTGAGTGTACTTCTAAGAGCTATAATCTCTCTTTAAGATACAGATTTTCTGAACTGGGATGTAAATTAAATGACAGTACACATTTTTAAAATAGACATCATTTTATTCCCAAGTTGAATTTTTTTCCTTATTTTTTGAACTTACCACTGATCTTTTCTTGCTAAATGTGTACATGTGAGAGGTAGGGGCGCATATATATTTACAAATCGAGTAAGGTCATCCTTCTGGGTCTACCATCAATTTTCATTATCTCCTTATTTTTGTTTAGAAAATTCTGTATCACAAGAAGTAAAATATACCTGTAGATCTTAAATATCTTAAACTCAGCATATACGGAGGGGTATTCTCTTTCTTTCTTCATGTGTTCTTTCTCTTGAAAAATAACAGTTCTGGTAGATAATCATCACTGTCTCTTCTCCTTTATACTCCTTGTAACTAAGTTCTGTCAGTCCTACTTCATGTTTGCTTTTCACCCCTCTGCTGCTCCTCCATTGAACATTCAGGTTCTACACTTATATCAGGCCCATCTGATGTGTTTGTCTCTGGTGTTACTCTTCTCCAGACCATCTGCCAGGTTGCCACTAAACTGACTTTAAAGAAAACAAAAAACAAATTTGATTGT